CTAGTCAGTATAGGGCACACAGGAGGAGGCTAGGAGTAGGGCCTACTACCTAGCCAGAGTACTTATGAGTTTGCCATTTGAAAGGTTTAAGCATAGTTCTTTCTTTTTTTGGATTGGGCTTTAGTTATAAGGTGCTAATGAGAACAAATAGTCCTCATCAACACACCATGTTTTTGATAAGGTTTATTTGAGAATGTGCTTCTCATCCTGTGTTCAAACCCACGGATACAGTGAGTTTCTCAGGCCCATAGTTCACCTCCAGGGCATTTACATCAATTTGTTGTCACCACTGTTTATCTGCATTCCCAGGAAATACTTATCTTACAGCAAATCTGATTTCTTGAAGGGAATTTTAAGTGTCCCTGTAAAATTACAGGAAAGAAGTAGAGGGAAAGATGAGTAGAGAAAAGCAAAGAAAAAATATTAATAAGGAACTAATAAAAAATAATCTAGAATTTGAAAAATCTACTCTCTTCCTCCCCATAAAGAGCAACCTGAGGTATATTCACAGGAAAGTAGACCTAAAAAAACAGCTTTCCTTCCAAAGATTAGAAAAAAATGAAGTTGGCCATTCAGCATTAGCCTGGAAGCCATTCAGATGCAGAGGTTGAGAATTCAAGACGAGGGGCATCTGGGAGCAACAGAAGAAGCTCAGAAAGCTTTCAGAACAGATGCCTGTGCACCACAAAGCATGACCATGCATATCTAGTCTTCTGTAATGCCATACCAAAGGCAGGTCTCCAGCGTGGCATGAATGACATGTGCCACCAGCAACACAGAGACAAATAAGATACAAAGCCCTGTTCAAGAATACATGAGCTGGACTCAGTGGCGCACGCCTATAATCCCAGCACTTTGGGAGGCCGAGATGAGAGGACTGCCTGTGCTCAAGGGTTCGAGGCCAGCCTGGGCAACTTGTGAGACCTCATCTCTACAATAAATCAAAAAATTAGGGTGTGGTGGTGCATGTCTGTAGTTCCAGCTCCTTGGAAGGCTGAGGCAGAAGGATCGCCTGAGCCCAGCAGGTCAAGGCTGTGGTGGCTGTGAGTGTGCCACTTCCCTCCAGCCTGGGCGACAGAGTGAGACTACCACTCAAAAAAAAAAGAATGCATGGACGTGGGGAGACAGGGAAGGGCCAGAGAGTAGCAGGCAGAGTATATAATAATAAGCTATAATGAAGCAGAAGAAAAGGCATAACCAAATGTGCCCAGGGGGTGAGGGAAGGTTTCCCAGGGCAGGTGAGCTGTGGCCTGAGCCATGAAAGATGGGTGGGGTAAGGCTGTGAATGGGGCTGAGAGGAAGTATGGTGAGAGGACTCGAGAGGTGGTGAAAGGGGCACCAGCAGAGGAGTCAGTCGGGGGCACTCTGGAGGGCAGAGCATATACCGCACACCCTGATGTCCACTCTAGCCCAAATGCGGTGTAGGATGATGGAGTGGCAAGAGAGGAGATGTCCTTGTGGAGTCTGAATTTAATCCTGAACCTTAAGGGCAGCTGCTGGAGCCCCAGGAAGGAAAGCAACATTATCTGATTTGTATTTTAGTACGATCACCCAGGAAACATACGTGGGATGGAGGAGAAGGTGGATTCAGCTGATAAATACTCCTAGTCCAAAAAAAATGTGTGGGTACAGAACACCACCAAAGAAAAACTAATCATTTTTAACTCAATTTCATTTACATGAGATTTTTTTTGGTCCCTTTGATCAAAATTCATATGAAGTTCTCTTTCTATTCTACTTCAGCATTCTAATATATATTCGCAAAGAATGACAACTATACTATCCCTCACAAACATGTATTTTTTCAACAAATTCATTCTAAATTTAAACCCTATATGAATTCATATGAAGAAAGACAATGACCGATGAAATTATATACTTTATAATTCATTTTTAGAAAAAAATTTAAGTTTATCAAAGTAAAATATTTCAGAAGACAAATGCAAATGTGTTTTTATAGTAGCTTCTAGTTACACCAGATTAATAGGCAGAAAACTGGAACAAAAGCCCTCTGAGGGCAACAAGCTGTGAGAATGAGAGAGGACACAGACTTGCCTATTAACAGAATTTTAAAAATTGCTCCTCTGTGCTCACAAGGCCTACCACTACTTTGTGTCATCAAAACACTTACAGCTTCTGGTCACTCTGCCTATAGGTCACCTACCAGCAGACCCTTAGGAATCCTATCTAGTCTGTGTATGTGTTTAAAAGTTATTAAATTAATGGCTTGATTACAACAAATCCATCAAAATGAAAATGGTGTAACTGCATGGCATGTGATGCCTTCCCTCCCACGAATGTTTTATTGGTTTCCTTGTTATCAAAGTCCAACACATTCTACAATGCAGATTCATGCTATTAACATTAAAATTACTGGTGTCAGGGAGCAGTAGGGAAGGGAGAGTATGGTAGTTCAGCAAAAAATCCAGGATTCTAGAAAAACCTGTCTTTCTCAATATAATCTATACATGTGAGAAACTGCAAGTCAGAATTACACCAAGTGGCTCTGAAATGTAAGGGTCCCTGGGGCAAAGCTCAGGTGAGGGTTTAGAAGTACAGCTATAAGCTGACCCTAGAAGATGAGGAAACACCCATCTCACTCTGCCTTTCATTATCATTCTATTTCACAGGAGGTGATTTTCCTCCCACCAGTATCTACTCAGAATATAAAGATCTGGAGAAGCCCTAGGACCATCTTAACTGCCTACAGATATAAAGGAGGAATGGAACGACACAGCCAAACACCTTCTGGTTCCATTATTCCCTGACCATAGATAGAGCCATTAAGTGCTCACAGCTGTCCTGCAGGCCTGTGGCAAGTGGCCTAGTGGTTAAGACCAAAAGCTTTGACTCCAAACAGAGCCAAATCTAAGGCTCAGTTCAACATGGGCAAGTGGCTTGACCTCTCTAAGTCCTAATTTCCGTGACTTTAAAGACGATGATAATTACATCATCTTATGGGATTGTTACGAGATGCAACGAAATGATACGTGTCAAGTACTTAGCGCTGCACTTGAAGTGTCCACTCAAATATTTACTATTATTATTTTGATCAATCATTTGCAGCTTCAGAGTGCAAAAAGTGAAATACTAGATTCTCAGGAAGGAATGAAAGTCACAGCGAACTTTGTGTGTAGAGGTAGGGTAGGTGATGGACAGGAGCAGGAAAGAGGTGAGAATTGTAACTTCTCCCAAGACATTTTAAAAATGTGCCTAAGCATGGAGACAATTCCTTATTTCTCTGGGTTGAACAAAAGACAATTTAAGATAGACATCCATAAAAACCCCTATGTTTGCTTTTCTCATGTTTTGTATTGTATTTTCACAGCAATGTATCTGCTAGCTACAAAATAAAAAACAGATCTATATAAAAATTGACTAAAAAATGGACCAAAGATCTAAATATAAAAGCTAAAACTATAAAACTCTTAGAAGAACACAGGGGAAAAGTTCACAACATCGAACTTGGCAAGGATTTCTCAGCTATGACACCAAAGCATTGGCAACAAAGGAGAAAATTTTATGTAGATAAACTGGGCTACATCAAAATTAAAAACTTGTGTGCATAAAAAACACTATCAACAAAGTAAGAAAGCAACTCACAAAGTGGGATAAAATATTCATAAATCACATATCTAATAAGAGGTATCAAGAATATATAAAGAATTCCTACAATCCAAAGACAAAGGACTGGAATAGACATTTCTTCAATGTTGATATACAAATAACCAAATAGGCACCTGAAAACACGCTCAATATCACTAATCATTAGGGAAATAGAAATCAAAACCACAATGAGATACCACTGCAAACCCATTAGAGTGGCTATTATTAAAAAAAAGAGAGCACAAGAAAATAACAAGTGTTGGCGAGGATGTGGAGAAATTAGAACCTTTGTACACTGTTGGTGGGAGTGCAAAATGGTCCAGCTGATGTGAAATATACCTCAAAAAGTTTAAAATAGAATTACCATATAGTCCAGTAAGTCCACTTCTGCATATAGATTCGAAAGAATTGAAAACAGAACCTCAAAGAGTTATCTGCACACTCATGTTTATGTCAGCATTATTCACAGCAGCCAACAGGTAGAAGAAACTGAAATGTCCATTGATGGATGAATGGATAAGCAAGATGTGGCATATGCACACAGTGGGTCAGCCTTCAAAAGGAATAAAGCTCTGCACGTGATTCCACGTGGACAAGCTTGAAGACATGCTAAGTGAGATAAGCCAGTCACGAAAGGTCAGACACTATATGAGTCCACTCAAACAAGGCACTAAGAGTCGTCAAATTCACAGCCACAGAAAACAGAATGAGCCGGGCTCGGTGGCTCAGCCTGTCATCCCGCGCCTTGGGAGGCTGAGGTGAGTGGATGGCCTGGGCCCGCGGGTTCGAGACCCGCCTGGGCAGCGAGACCTCATCTCTACAATAAATCAAAAAATCAGCCGGGCGTGGT